GGAAATAAAGTGTTTGCAGATGGGGAGGCGGGGAGGGGTGAAGGGAGGGCAGGGACAAGGGGAAAAAATGAGAACCAAGACCTGTCATGTAGAGGTACAAGATCCTAACAATGAATGTAACTGTACTGTATCCCTAAAATGTACCAATAAACTCAATTATAAAGAAGAAAAATTTTTAAAAAAACAATGTGTGCCCTAAAATTCACTTAAAATATAGTAAAAGCTTAGTGGTGGCATATTGGTTATTAAAAAAGCAATGATATTCATCATCTGGGAGACAAGTGACTGGACAGAGTTCCTTAACCCTGAAGAAACTGCTCAAGAGTGACCAAATACTGTGTAGGAAGAACAAACTAATTTCTAAGTATGAATGTATTTCCTTTTTTTTTTTTTTTTTGGTACCGGGGATTGAACTCGGGTCCTTGTGCTTGCAAAGCAGGCCACTGAACCGCTGAGCTAAATCCCCAGCCTGTATTTCATTTTTTTATGTAAACATTTTAAAAGACTTACATACATATTGATTTCTTTCTAATTATGATTTCAAACCTCAGAATTTCCAACAGGAATATGAAAAATGCTCAACACCAATAATCCTCAGGGAAATGCAAAGCAAAAGCACAATGAGATATCAACTCCTCTCAAACTGCCTCGTATCCAAAAGACAACAATGAAAAGCTGGCAAGGATGTGAAGAAAAGGGATTTCTGATACACTGTGATGGAAATGTGAATTATCACAGTCATTCTGGACAAAAGAAAGGGGCTTTCTCAAGAAATTCTAACTAGAACTACTACCCACATTAGTAATCCTATTATGCCAAGGGAAACTAAATCAGCATACCAAAGAATCATCTGCACGTCTATATTTCAAAACTACACACAATAGCCAAGATATGGAATCAACTTAAATGTTCATCAACAAATGAACAGATTTAAAAACTATATTATATATACACAGTAGGGCACTATTCAGTCATAGAAAGAGAAGAGAGTAGTACTGTCATTTTCAACAAAAGAACTAACCTAGACGCCATTATTTTAAGCGAAATAGGCCAGGTTCAGGACACATAGCACATGTTCTCACCCTCACGTGGAGTCTAAAATAAATGATCAGCTAGAAGCAGAGAGTAGAATGGTGGTTCTATATCCACTCCAAGAGCTGGCGAGGTTGGCAGGGAGGGTAGCTGCGGAGAGATTGGCATAAAGTTACGGTTACTTAGGAGAAATGAGTTCTGATGTTCTATTGCACACTGGGGTGAGCATGGCTAACAGCAATGTACCACCCACTTCTAAATAGCCAGAAGAGAGCATTGTGACTGTTCTTACCACACAGAAACAACAAGTACTAAAGAGGAGAGATATAATATCTCTAGATAATATCAGCAGTATCTCTAATGGCTGATTTGATCATTATAAAGTATATATGTGTTAAAAGGCATCATACAGGACAGCATAAATATGTGCAATTATTATGTCAATTCAAAAAAAGCTTGAAATTGAAATGATTTAGCTAAAAAAATCATGATTGCACTTCTAAAATTCAACATGGAACAAATACTCAAAATGAAATCTCTTCTGTACAGAGTGCTTAAGCAAAACAAAGTTAGAATTTCCATGGAAACAGCCTGGAACTCTTGAAGGAGAAGAGAGGACAAAAGTAAGCATGAAAATGCATTTATTTATTTTCGTGTGCCTCCTCACCTCTGCCCCTCCAAACCTCAGGCTGTCATCTTAACGAACGCTTTCAAGCCTCAGAAGGAATTACGAAAATTTGACAGGAGCAAAGAAAGGACTAAATATAGTTCCTCTGTGAGAGAAATGTATTCCACAATCTTCCCATCTACCTCTCCTTCCCATCTGGGCAATCTACCTCTCCATGTTACTTCTGTGCTGCTGTTACTGTACAGCAAGTTTAGCTGCTAGGTCACTGGGATAGGATGTTGTTAACAGCACGAAATATAATTTTCCCCTTTTGGGAAGGTCACTTAATGAGATCACTGAAATCAATTACCAAAGCAAGTTGTATATATTATCTTAGTGTAGAAATTCTATTTATCCAAAGGCTTTAAGAATTCTAGAGTCTGCTGTTAGCAATCGATTCACTATTTTAGTCCATTTCCTGTTGCTGGCAACACAGTACCACAGTCTGTATCTGTTACAAAGAAAAGAGGTACATTTTGGTTCATGGTCTGTCCTTAAGTTTGAGGACCTACATCTGGTGATGACTTTCCTGCTGGCAGACTCCTGACTGGGGTGGAGCAGGGTACCTCATGACTAGAGGCAGGGACTGTACAAGAGAGCTACCAAATTGGCTTATACAGCAGACTCCGCCTTGAAACAACCCTTTAATTTGTAATCACATGAATGGGTTAATCCTATCATGAAGGCAGAGACTTAATCACCTTTTTTAAAAGGTCCCACATGGTCTCAACTTTTAATATGACAACGGGGATCAAATTTCAGCATGCATTCCAGAGGGGACAAACCATATTCAAACCATGGCATTCATTTCACCAGTACAACCCGAGAGAGGTAGCTAGATGACTATGTTGGGTATCATCAACTCACATTCTACCACTCTAGAGAGATTTAAGATTGCCTGACTTATAGGTATGAAACCAGAACTCCCCAGCACCTTGGATCTCAGACATATTACTCTCTCTCGGTTGCTTGCTAAGCCTATGACACCCGGCCACGGCTCCACTCTCCTCTCGATAGTAAAAACATCTGTTTTTAAAGAAATGTATGCCTTAGTGTTACAAAGTAATCTTGGCATGTCTTCCGAGCAGATAATATTGCTCTTACTATATACCAGGAAACACCCTGAAGAAAGGTTCAGCCAGGAGGTGGTTTTGGCTTTCCTGACGAGCTTTTCCCAGAACTGAATGACCTATTTCTGATTGATAAATATTGCTTCAAGTTCAGCAATAGATGGCTTAGTGAGGACAAAAAGTGACCTATCATAAATCTGGAAATTAAAAACATGTCTTTTGGAATAAAATAGTCATAGGTGCATTGGCTGAATTAAGTAGCTTAGAAATTATTTTACTTACCCTAGGTATTACCTCAGGGTGCAATAATACCTCGCCTTGGGGATAAGCTGGTATCTGTTTTTCCTTAGAAAATTAAAGGCAATTAAAACTGAGTCTGTGACAGCTCAAAATGGAATGGCAATTATAAAATACAAAGTGTGATACAAAGCCTGCCATCAGTTTTCTTTTGCTTGTAATTATCGAAAACTACTGGAGTTCAAGGATATATCATGAATTTGGGGAATACTGGAACCAAGAGATCAACAAATAGCCACCCTATAATTAGCATAACATGTATCTTTTAATACAATCAATATGACACTGAGTTGATGTTCTAACACACACCTTATCAGATAATACTATATCACTGTGGGAAGAAATTAAACAATGAAAATGTTTAGGCAATTTCTTCTTCAGTTAGTTACCACTATTGGACATTAGAGCAACTGCCACTATGTATTTGGCTCTGTGGCAAGTAGGTGGTATATTTCAAAATCTAAATGACCATGGGAGACTGGCATTGAGGCAGATTAGGACGTGGCAAAGTGGCTGGGCAAGGGGGCATGACCTGTCAAAAACAGAGACCCAGGGCACAAGCACAAAACAGCTGCACCTGTTCCAACTAGAGAATGCTATCTTCAGTTCTTCTGGTACAAGATCAAGCATGCTTTTGATGGGACGGTACAGATCTGACAATCAGATGGGGTGAATAAAACATGGTGGTCACTGGCCTCACGACTACTGCTTTCTCTCTCAGTGGCCTGCTCTATGCTCTGCACGGCATTTTCCCGCCTACCCGTAAGTGGCCCACACTCACTCTGCAGAACATACTTCTACTTTTAATAAAGATAAACCTCACTACCTCATTTTTTGTCCAATTTTTTGCTTTAGGGCAACATGAGTCTGGCAGGGATGCCTAGAAAAAGAACAGCACCTCAGAAGCCTGGTAATAGTATTAGCATCCCAATATGATATCCAAGATAGACATTAAAAAGTCACCTAAACGTGGGTTACAAAAAGCAACTTGCTCCATTCACATTGCTTGAAATGGTAGAATCCAGCTCCAAACCTCAGTCTACCCAACCCCAGCACCACTGTACTGATCCAGCTTGTGGCTCACTGGTCCCCACTATGACCCATTCCTCTTGAACCATCTTCAGCTAATCAAAGGTCAGTGATCTGAGTAGTCCTCTGAGGTCTACCTCGAGGGATCTTCTCTCATCTGCTGCATGCAGTGGATATTTAGTAAAATTTAAAGTGACAAAAACAAATCACACAGGAGTATTTCATGCTCATTGAGAAAGTCACATGAGAATCATGGCTATTACTACTAGTCAAGAGGAGAAATCATTCACTTTTACTACAGAATTAGAAACAGTGCAACAGAAGTTTTTAAAAATTATATTTAATACAAGTGAATAGATTAGAAGATCTGAAATGTTATAAAGCAATATACACAATGAATAAATAATCTGCACAGGAGAGTCATGTCTACATTACATAACACTGTCTAGTATGGGAATACTTAAAGTAAATCCAGTGACGATGGAAAAAGTCCATAAAAATGCTAACCTGTCTTCCCTTGTATGAAATTGTTCAAGTATAAAAATCCAATACAGTGTAAAATAGTATTCAATTTAGTTTAAGAATAAAAATTGCAAGTATTGCAGTTTCAGAAGAAAAAATGTAAAGCAGCATTTAAAAACTACATAAACTACATAAGAATAGTGTTATAGCGATGAGTTACCAATAAATGAGATCTACACAAGCAAAACTCAGAGAAGGAAGCATGAAACTAGCAATGTAGCTTGTTTAAAAGAAAAACCTCAAGACTAAAATAAACTAAAATGTGTTAATGTAAAAGTATTCTCTTATACAGTGCACAATGAATTTAAATAAATCCAAGTCAACATCTTTAGTTGAATAGGTTAATATTTAATATGCTACATCTAGACCTACTAAATAATTTATGCCATGAGATGAATACATAATTTTACAGTGTCACATCTAAAGTTCCTTTCTTTAGAGTGCAGCATAGTAAAACTTAAAAATAAATATCTTAAATAGCATTACTATTAAGGCACAGTATAAACCACATTATCATTAACCACTGAAGAATTGTAATCTCAATAACCTTGTTGTTTCAGGTACTGTATTCACTAATAAATAGTTTTAAATAGGACTCTGAAATAGATACTAAAAAGTGTAAAATTATTTAAAAAGGGGGAAAAAAATAAACATCCTTAAGACAGTTCTTAAGGGTTTAGCGTCTGCAAACTTCACCTGCCTTTATTCCCAAGTCCCACGTCGACAATAAATAGAAAGAGAAGGCTGTTGTACTAAGTGCCTGATCCTGTTTAGAGATCAGAATTGCTGACACCAGCAGATACAAGTTTCCCAAAATTGAAACAGGATGGGGAGAGGGATTAGAATGTGACAAGCTCATCAAACAAGCACAAGTGATGTGTTCTTTCCAGAACTGCGTGTGTTATTGATTGTCTGTACAGCTGCTGCACCCATTATTTCCACATCACTTGCTCCACGGTCCCACTTGTCCACAGGACAGATGAGAAAATAGCTTTGGTGCCTGTCCACCATTGTACCCACTGCCACGCTCCTACAATGATTGTTCGATGCCTGTTTTTGAGATAGTATGGACACTACCTTCTTCCTGGAAAAAGTTCTATAGGCCGAAGTGACTGCTTAAAAATGACAATCAGTGCGTTCGCCATTTTGGTGGTAAGAAAAGAAAAAAATCTGCTTTTAAACGTATTTCAAGCTACATATTGCTCTCTCTGTATTCCCTGGTTCAACTAGATTCAAATAGCATTTTCTAACTTGTAAAAGGCAGTTTGCTTCCCTGATACTATGAAAAGAGCAAAAATAAAAATCCCACTACAAAAGCGAAGTTCCACTGGTCTCCTGCTGTCGCTCGCTACGGAGCAGCCTTTCCATTTATTCAGCTCTTTGGGATCGATTTCCAAAACTGCGCCCAAGCCCCTCATTCTCATCTCTTTTTCATCTAGGACACTACTTTGAGTATAAAAAAAATAAGAATTCTGCTTCACAATAGCATCTCTTTTTTTTTTTTTTTTTTTTTAAAGCTGTTAAGTCAATGTTAACTCTCTCATTAGCTACTGAAAATCGGAAATTTGGTGGGGGGAGAACGAGAAAACAATTCAACTTTGATCAGATGGCTGCTCTACTGCATTCGGTCTGTTTGCAGCTGCTGGGGCTGATACTGGCCAAATGCTGCGGCGGCGGCAGCTGCTGCCGCGGCTGCAGCTGCAGACCCAGGTGCGGCAGCGGTGATGGGCTGCTGGACCGCGTAGCCGTAGCCTCCAGCGGTGACGTATCCTGCAGCAGCCGGAGAGGCCGCGTAGGGGTACTGGTCATAGGCGGCGGCGGCCGCAGCGGCAGCGGCGGCTGCTGAGTACTGTGCATATGCAGCTCCAGTGTAATCTATGTATGGCGTGGTGGAGGCCGCAGCTGCCGTGGGCTGGACGTGTGGAATGACCACTCCAGGCTGCACAAAAGCCTGTGGGTAGACGTAGTGGGCAGGTATCCTGTGGAGAAATGGGAGACAAAGTCAGGCAGCCGTCACCTCCTAGCTGCGGCATTCTTTGTTCAGAGATGAGACAAACTCAAATTTAGTGGTTATTATGAGCATAGGGTTGCCACAATATGTTTCGAGGGGTCCACTGAAAGCACTCTGGCCAGCGTCATGGAGCGCCCCGAAAAGAATTCAACCAGGAAAACAGGATGACTGTCCCTGCCAGAATTTTCACTTAGGAATATTTAGACCTCTTAAATATCACCGATGCAAAGTTTAGAAAATAATCAAGGTTGGTGAGGGCTATGTACACATCAGAAAGTTTTAATGAAATAAGTCTTTAGGAAAATTTGTATGGAATTCATACAAGAAAAATGGTTAGCAAATGGAAAAATTCATAGCTATGAATATAAGACTCAAAAGCAATACAGGATGTGATCATTCCTGGGGGTGGGGGCGATGGCCAGTTTGTTAAAACTAAAATTTCCACAAAGTCCATATGGCTATTATCATGGCAACCCTACTGGAAATTGCTATGCAGACTCAGCACACATTAATCTCTCTGCAACCTCAGTCACCCTTATTAAAAATGACAATTAAAAAATAAGAAGCAGGCGACAAAATAAAAAAAGGAGTTTAAAAATTCACAAGTGTGGTAAACACAGCAGAATCACACTTCTCAAACGAACTGTAGTGCAGCTCACTCTGTCGCAAGAGGCTGTTGTGGGAAGCTACAAAAATGCTATTAACATTCATGGCAGTGATTCCCAAAGAGTTGTGCAGCACACTTTCTTTCTCTCCCTCTTATTTTTCCATAAAATCCATAAGGACATAATGGTCAACCAAACCTGTTTGACTACCAGGCACCTGAACGTCAGCCATCTTGTTTATCTCTATGCAAGACAGACAGAAGGTGTTGGGGACATGGTGTGGGTGAGGGAAAAAAGGGAAGGGCAGGGAGACAACTAAATACTTCTAAAGTTGACAGAAATGTAAAAGGCGTACATTATAAGGAAACATTTATTCTGCACATAGACTAACTCTTATTCTCCAGATCAACTGAAATCGATCTATTAGCATATCTGTTTTAAATCTGCCCTACTAGCTAATACTTTGTAAGAATCAACTGTGTGATATGTATTATCCCACAAAAGTTCAAGAGAGCAAAACAAAACCAAGTACCTTTTAAAATTATACATTCACAGATCATAATTACTTTCCATTAAGAAATACAAGACGGACTCCAATGACCTTACTTACAAGTTGATTTGGTTAAAAAGTAAATCATAAGAGAGATGTAAAAAACAAACAAACCCATGCATCTTAAGTCTCACACCTGCGATTCGTTACTATTCATTTATTAAACACTGACTCAAATATTTATCTTCATCTTCCTTTCAAATAGTCTCCATCAAAACCCCTATCTTTCTAAAAATATGACACTAAAATGCTATCTGGCTATCAACAATCCCAACTGATAAGAAGCAGAAGCACAAGTAACAATCTTCAAATTTTAAAGAACTCAAAACAAGACTTCATATTTAGATTTTTCAGAAGCACGGGTTTTGCTTTGCCTTTCCAGAATTCTACTGAAAGCATTCATTAACAAACATCTATGGAAAAGATAAATTTATCAGAGAGGAGTGAACTTTGACCCAGTGATAAAAATACATTCAAAGTTACTAGAATTGTAGATCTTTCCCAGTGCAAGGAGAAACGTCATCAAGTGTTTCTGAGGACACTTAGAGATGTTCTTAGCCGCTTATCAGAAACCAGATGCGTGGTCATGCACACACTCAGAACTTTGCTGCCGATCATGCGATTGGCTCATTCTCAGTGACAGGTGTGGCTTTATGAAACACTGTCTCGGGAGCCACCATGTCCACAGTGTGCAGACATGGCCAAGAGAGCCTCCTCCCCTGCCCGTTTACATGTGGTGATAGACAGCAGTGGCTGCGGCTGGGCTATTTTTGATCCTGTCATGCGACAGGGTTTCCAGCGAGTAAAATGTCTTTATAAGGCCAAAGTAAAGCATCTATCAGCTGCAAAGGCCAGGCAGTATGAGCCTTACTGATACTGAAACATTAACCCCTTGGACTCCTAAAGTTTCAAGGACAACACAGTGGTTGTTAGGTTCCTATCTTTGAATGAGGGAGTTAAAGGAAAAGAAATTATTCTACATAAAGGCAAGACACTTCCTCCACCCGTGTGGTATGTGTTTGAAAAATGCATGAACATATAGGAAGCGTTGCTTAGAGACTCATCTCTGCATTTACTTTCCATTAAGAAATAATTTCAAGTTGATAAAGACAACCAATGAAAGTATAATTTTGGGGGTGGATCAGACGCCTACCTGAACTCTAGCAAGGGAAAGAAAGATGTCTGGAAGGCAAATTAAAAGCTAGGGACCTTGAGGCTTAGGGAAAAGGAGAATGCAGGAGATCACGGAGAACCTAACATATCTTGGGGTCAGGAAGGAAGGCCAACTGGACTAAAGGTGAGGGCACACCACGGAACCAATTCCTTTATTAGGAATTCTTTTATCTATAGAAACCACTGAGCCATTTACATTCCTACCAGTACCATTTCCTGCAATTAACCATGTAAGTATATATGCCTAGCAGTACAAGAGCACAAGAGCAAAGACTATTTTGGGTCATTTTCAAAGAAAAGTTACCATGTATTCTTTCTCTTCCCATCTCTTCAGGCCCTTCCAAGATCTCTGACTTTGATGCAACATGCTGACTCCCTCTTCCAGTTTACTGAACAAAACTGCTGGCAAACTATCATCTCATTCACTTTTTCAAAGGAGTCCTTGGCCCCTGACCTCACAGAACCAACTGATGTGCACATTTCTTGAATCTTGGCACATTAGGCCTTTTATGCACCTGAATCTAAACTACCATCAGTGTTTCTTTCCCCGAACCCAAGTAAACTACGCTCCTCCAAGTTTCCAGAATGCCACAGGGTCCCAGGTCCTTGCCTCCGTTATGTCAACTGGTCCCTCACCTGGGGTGCCAACCCTCACTCCACCTGGGCCTGCTGAAATCCAAGCCCTTCACCCTAGCTCTAGCACTATGTGTATAGCTTCAGAAATTTGTTTCATCTTTTAGGCTTACATTTTCCATAATGTAAAATGGACTAAAATTATCACAAGTTGCTGCACATTAAATAAAATTATCTATGGGGAGAACCTACAATGATAAGCATACTGGGTGTTCAATAAAAGAGTTCCTTATCCTCACCTTCCTATAAAATCTAGGTCAATTCCTACTTCATGCAGAGTTCTGAACCCACTGATCTATAACTCCCACATTTTCCATACAGTTTTTGAGGTCAGGCACACCATGATTCTGAACCTCAAATCAGATTTGAACCCTTACTAGTCCCAATGGTTGGGGGAAGTTAATTAAGCTTCATCTTAGATTTTTGTTTGTTCATTGTTTGTTCTACCCATGGGAAGAACCATAGCGGTTTTTCAAATACTCATTGTGAGAATTAAATTATAGTATTTATGTAAATCCCTTTTCCATATCATGTAGTGGATGTTGGGTAAATGTTAGTTGCAGGCCCTCCTGCCCCTCTGCCATAGAAGAAGTAATAAATATCTAGCACGGGGGATCTCACCTAGCACAAAAACCAAGCACTGACCTATGTACTGAGTAAACACTCAGGTTGATGCTCAACCTGACCCAAACGAACCCAGCAATTTGTCTTCACAGATATGTCTCTCCTGTCTCAGGCTGCAACAAGAAAATGCTGCCTTCAAACAAAGCTGTTTATGCAGAATTATGCAGCAAACTTTTGAGGTTCTCTATGTCTGTCCACTATGTTGACTCAGAAATTATTCCAGGTCAACGTTTTGTCTTGAAGACCCAGGGTAACCTGGGGGTCAAGTAAGGACCACATTAAAATAATAGTTTCATCACTAGAATTTCAAATAAGTCTAATACAATTTAAAATTCTCAAGCTTCTTTCCAGGCCTAAAATAAAATGATGTGGCATTCAAATAAAATTTAGGATGATCAGGTGTGATTTGTTGGGTTCAGACTCAGAACTACAGCAGAGTTGAGAATCCCTTAAAAGAGAAAGAGAAAGCTTACTTGGTCTACCTGGACTGCTATCTGTTTCTACTAAGTTCAAACAACTTATGCAAACAGTAATAATCACCACCCTTTATAAAGACAGTTAATGTTAGGAGAGATGACAAACAAAAGGTTACTATCAAAACATATTTAATTTAAAATTTCCACATGAGACATTTTACTCTGGTGGTTCTTACTCTCCTCATGGTGCTTTCTTTCTCAAGTATCTTTAAGGATAACCACAACTAGGGCCAAATGTTTCCATCTAGCTGTCAAGAGCTTCCATTTTGTCTGGTTTCTCCATGTACCAAGTCTTTTCTCCTCCATGCCTGTGTTCATATTCTCTACCATGTACCCATCTGACACGTCCAATCTTCCTTTAATCTGCCTACTGGCCTACCTCAAGTTCAAGTCATCCCACTGCAGCCTTGTCCAATCCTTCCAATTCACCTGTTTTCTTTCTACTCTGAGATCCATTTGTAGTTGAAACCATACCAAGTCATTCAGCAAGGTGACCCTTGATTGGTTTGTATTTTTTGCTTCCTAAGTGAATGCATCATTTCTTAATTTTGCATGGTGAAAAATGAACCTATGTTAATACCTGTCTAGACCATGCAGTAGTACATCCATCAACCCATCATTTGTTGGCAGTATCTAGGTTGGTTTAGATGGAGACTTTGATATATAACTATGTGTATGGGCCCTTTCTAATGATACTGTACAAAAGATTCCAGCTAAAACAAGTCAGATTTGGCAATAACAGTAAGATTCTGCTATGGCAAAGGGCAGGTGAGGGCCAAGGATTTACCTCAGTGGTTCCAGCACCTGCCTCGCAAGCACAAGGACCCGAGTTTGATCCCCGGTACCAAAATAAATAAATAAAACCAACAAAGGGCAGATGATAAGAAAGTGTTCATGGAAAATATAACTTGACTATTTTAAGTCAAACTGTTACCTTTTTTGGGGGGGGGCTATTCTTGGAGCATCATATAATAGAATCTATGTAGACAGATTCCAGTCTTCTAGATTACATATGCAAATATTCAGGTCTGCAATCAATACTGAGAATAAAATACTTTCAACAACTAGAACAGCTAAAAAGGAACTTTAAATCTCTGGCATTAGGATTACAGGAATATTGAGTAGGTAAAACACAGCCCAAACAGACTTTAGCATCCAGGAAAATTGTAGGTGGTGACCTCCCATTTGTATTATGTCTAAATGGAAAGGAACTGGAGACCTCAGAACAGGAGAGCTGGTAAGGACAGGACCTAGTGGTAACACAAGTGGGAGCACCTGTTAGGTCTGAAAGGAGGAAGTTAGCGCTATGCTATTCAAAACAAAAACAAAAATAAAAAAAAAACCCACAACTGGCTAGTGTTAATGACAAGAGCTGTCGAACCTTTAAATTAGAAGACCTAAAAGTGGATATACATTATAATAGAAAGAACCCCATTCCCAGACAACTTTCCATAAAACAGAAACTTAGGACATGCAAGCAATGGATCTGTATTCTTACAGAGAGAAATCACACAATTTAGCACTCACTACAAAAATATGGTTAAATGGAAGTCACAGGCTATAGCTTAAAAAGCAGGGGGAAAAAAGGCCCTTTGCTTCCCATGGCAAAGAGAAAAGTTCACACTCCTCAACACCACCACCAAAATCAAAACGCAAAGAGCCCCTTCCCCGAGGAAAAGAAAACTTTCACTACAGCTCTTTTCAATTAAGTAAAAAGCACACAGTTTAGCTATCAACACCACTTCATGACTGTAATAAATAAAATAAAGCACACGGAGGGCTATTGACTATTGTGAAAAATAAAACAACACCACCAACATCCATGCATCGTTAATCACCATCTGAGCTTGTGTTTCTGAGTCTACCGGTTACAGAGTTTAATTCCAAACAGAACTATTCCACCTCTTATCATGGTATCCTTCTCATCAGTTAGCTTAACTGTATACGAGCCCTGTCAGGTTAGAAAGAGATAAATACAATTGAGTCAAGTTGAACAGTAGTAACGGTGATGGGACACAGTTGTCTGGTATACAAGTCATACCTGGTATTTTTGTTTTGTTTTGTTTTGTTTTGTTTACCATAAGCTCAACATTTGTCTGGCTTGGAGGCTGCATACTTGGGTCAGATAACTTGACTCATCTAAAAATATTTATAGTATTTGAATTAAAAATACACAAACATATATAAATATGTATAACCAGGAACATTTTGTGACATGTGGATCTTGTCTGTATACAACAAAGAGGCAGATTAATGAATGATAAGCACCTTGACAACAACTTACCCGAAAGGTCTTTGTATGAGGGCTGGATGAAGTTGTTGAACACCAAAGGCAAAACCTACCAATAAAACATAACATTCTCTATTTGTGTATGGTCAAACATGTACTAGTCCTACATGTAAAATGTAGTCCCAACTTTTGTTTTTTTTTTTTTTCTCATTGAGTTTATTGGTACATTTTAGGTATACAGTACAGTTACATTCATCATTGGGATCTTGTACCTTTACATGACAGGTCTTGGTTCTCATTTTTTCCCCTTGTCCACGCCCTCCCTTTACCCCTTCTTCCCTTCTCCATTTACAAACATTTTATTTACATTTTTTTCATTTTCTCCTATTTTTTTTTCTTTCCCTTATTCCCTTTCCCCTACCTTTCCCACTTCCCTAACCTTTAGCCCTTTTCTTCCTATTTCACATTGTCAATAATCTCATTGGGATCTTATGTACTATTATAGTTTGCTCACACCAGAGAAACTATTCGGTATTTACACATGTGTGACTTATTTATTTCACTTAGGAGTATACCCTCAATATGGATCCATTTTTAGTCTCAACTTCTGATAAAAAAGAAGCATCCTTTTGTGATACTTTAGACAATATACATCCACAAATATTTTAAGTTTATTCTTATAAATGTTTTCAATGATAACACTAAAGGTTTTAACAGACTAAAAATGGAAACTTGAAAACACTGCAAAGTTCAGTTGACAGATACAGAGCGAGACCATAGGAAAATTAGACCAGAGAAAAACGCTCATGAAACAGAAACAAGAACAGGACTTGACAATGAAGTTACATGTCACAAATACTCCTACAGTTCTCAATCAGGAGCCATTAGAAACTCTGTCATTTGGAACATTCTGGAAAGCTTTGGCCAGCACTGGAGAATTATCAGTTTTACAGTTTACAGTCTTAAAATTAATAAAAGCAAGCTCCTCCTACTTGCCCAAGAAATAATTAGCTCAAGAGTCAACCCTCGATTATTTGTGCTAATGCAAAGGGCAGTGTGGCGAATAACCCAAAAGGTCAACTCTTCCCATGGAAAAGATGCTGCTTCTCCTTCTGGCATCTCCTGACTTCAAGTAAACTGTTTCTCATCTCCGAGTAAGGATCAATTAAAAAAGTCTGGACCAAGAGTAGGTAATGCCACTCTGTTGGTTTGGCTCGTATTCTGATTTTATGTGAATTAAGGCTTTACCATCCGGATACCACCTCCACCCCTCTGCCTCCCTGGGGTGGGTGTTGAGTCAGACTACCTCCTCTGAGGCCTGGGCAACTGGTGATTTTAAAAGCAGAGACCACGCTAAGCATGGAAGTGCTCTAGCTGCAGTCCACAAACTGGGCCCACACAATCCCCATAATTCACGTATTTAGCTACAAGTGGCTACCTAAAAGTTGGAACACTGAGAGCATACTAGAAATGCATACCATATAGGAAACAGACCAATGAATCCTTACTTTTGTGTCTTTACAAACTATCCAGATCCCAAGATCTCTTTTTGAACACAGATACATTTCAAATCCTGCAAGGAGTATTTATCTTTTATCTTCAATGCCCCGGCAGAATAATCACCCAGCCACGGTTCAAGTTTGCCAAACACACATCTACAGATTCTCAGAGAGCCAATGTCTTCTGGATCCGGGAAACATTCTACCCCTAAATGGGGGTCGGGGGGCAGGGAGACAAACATTCCTCACCTGGCTGCATGATCCTTGGTTTCGCTCCTAAATATGCCAGATTCACATTGGCCTTTCTGCCGTCGATGATGGGGTTGGGATCCTTGCAGGCCCTTTCAGCTGCAGCCCGGTCAGCCATGGTGACCTTAGCAACATACACACACAGACAAACACACAAAGCTCTAAATTAACCCCTGAAAGAAACCCAAATGGCTTTAGAAAAGTCATGTTAGAGAAACTGAAATCAAACTTTTCCTTTTTTTTCTCTCTTTTTACCTTCTTTCATTCTTTTTCCTGGATATTATTCCTAGATTTCCCGTTAAAAAAGAAAAGAAAGAAGGGAGAAACCCTCCATCCGAACCCTAAATCCTGTGTGCCGGTAGGGCCTAGCTGATATTTTGGAAGCCTGGATTCTTCAAAACTCCTGTGGCTCCTCCAGCCCTCCACCTGACCCCCACCCCTCCGGTCCCTACGGTCGCAGAGGCACTGTTTGTTTTAAACAAAGTTCAGCCTCACCTCTGCCCTACGGTCCCAACCACCGGTAAACACTACCCAACGACAATAGCCATTGTCCTACTCTGGGGGCTCCTCGCTCCGGCAGCTGAAATTGCGCCTTTAAATCTCCGGGAAGCTTGCAGTGCTGTCTCGATTCAGCAAAGGATTATTATTTTTCTTTTAAAGGATCTGCTTTTGCAGTTATAAAGGTGAGTGCGTGACTTGAGGGGACGAGCCCCAGACCTCACAGGGTGTCCGTCCCCTCCCTAACCCAGGCGAAACGCCAAAAGACACACGCATTTTTACAGAGCAACAGCGCGCCTAACAACCGGCCTCAACCCAGGATTGCAACTGCGGGGAGACGGCCCCTTCCTCGCGGCCCACGGCACCCCAAATGTGGGCGATGCTCACAGCCCTCTCCTTCCAGCCTCGCACCGCCCGGGCCCCGACACAGCCCCGCGCGGAGTCCCCGCGGAACCCGGCC